GAGAGGAAGAAAGAATCTGAAGCAGACTCGGTGCTGAGCACAGAGCCCAAAGTGGGGCTAGATCCCACCACCAGGAGATCATGACCTGAGATGAAGGCAGACATTTAACCAACTGAGCCACCCAGGCGCCCCTACATGAAGTCTAATTAGATAAGGTCATCAGCCTGATGCGGGACTTGATCCCGGGACTCCAGGATCATGACCTGAGCCGAAGGCAGTCGCTTAACCAACTGAGCCACCCAGGCGCCCCTAGATTTTCATTTTATTATTTTAAGTTCAAATGATTAATTGAGTTTATTAATTCAGTAACAGTTAACTCAATTACCTATAAGTGGTTTTAAGGTTTTCTTCAAAAGAATAATGCTTCTGTGAGAGCTATCATAAGCATTAAGAAAAAAATCAGGCACACCTACATATTAGCAGTATCTATTAGATGAAACTATAGAAACCAAAAGATAATACATTGTATGAGGGCTTACTGCTACTTGGAAACACCCCACTCCCATTAAACTAAGTCTAAGGCTGAGCAGTTCAACAGAAATACCATGCAAGCCACACAGGCAAGCCACATATGTAATTTTAAATCTTCTAGTAGCCACATTTTTGTAAAAGTTGAAACAGGTGCGGGCGCCTGGGTGGCTCAGTTGGTTAAGCGACTGCCTTCAGCTCAGGTCATGATCCTGGAGTCCTGGGATCGAGTCCCGCATTGGGCTCCCTGCTCGGCAGGGGGTCTGCTTCTCCCTCTGACCCTCCTCCCTCTCATGCTCTCTGTCTCTCATTCTCTCTGTCTCAAATAAATAAATAAAATCTTTAAAAAAAAAAAAGTTGAAACAGGTGAAATTGCAATAATATAATTATTTAACCTAGTACATGTAACATATTATCATTTCAACATATAATCAATATTTTAAGAGCACCTGGCTGGCTCAGTGGGAAAAGCACGTGACTCTTGATCTCGGGGTCATGAGTACGAGCCCAACATTGGGTATAGAGATTACTTAAAAATAAATAAATAAATTTTATAATCAACATTTTATCAATTGAATTTTTTTTTTCACACTGAATCTCAAAATCTGGCATAAAAGTATTTTACACTTACAGCACTAGGCAAATTTCAAGTGCTCCACAGCCACGTGTGGCCAGTGGCTACCATATTGGACTGCACAGATCTAAGGGATAGCTCTTCTAAAAATCACAATCGGAAAAAGGCTGTGGGTTACAACCAGCAAATCAGACCTAGAAAGTGAAAGACATGGGTCAAGAAAGGGAGCTTATAGCTCCAATATTCTAATGTTGAAATAAGAGTTCAACTAGGAAATGAATAACAAACAATAATGGACCATTTTAGCAGATAATGACCTTTCAGCAATCTACTTGGGGTTCTTAAAATATTGCATAGTGTTGATCGTATGTTTGTTTTCTCTACATTGTAACTAGTCTTGCTATAATTGTTATTTGAGATTATCCATAATCTCTCCCCTCCCTCTCCATTTCCTCACCCCCACCACCGCCAAGGAATTTTCTAACTATTTCAAAGTTATCAAAAAACAAAACAAAACCTACTTCCAGGTGCTTTCCACAACCTGAACAAATTTAAAATCTACACAGGTAATGTGTAAGCCACTGAAGGATCTGGGGAAGGGAATGGAAATAATGTTTCAGTACTAATAGTGAAGTATCCATGTCACAGAAGGAGGGGGAGGAAACAAACTGGAAAGGCACTAGTTCAGAACGTTCCACATGAATCTTGAAATATGTTGTAGCCTTGAGAACAAAAAGACAGAGACCAGATTTAGCAGTGATTCAAGTAAATCAAGTAAACAGTATCATGCCAGAAGAGGGAGAAGAAGACTTCAAAGGAGACTGACCAAAATAATGAAGTCAGCAGCTCCCCTTTACCTTCCTCCCCCTACACAGTACTCCAGAGAATCCCAGAGGGACCATTCTGCAAAGATTTGCTTGTAGCAAACATTTCCTTTTTCTTAAATCACTAGCTCTTTCTAAACACCAGACCACATTCTCATTTGCTAATCTATTAAAGTACCTATGATAAATTTAAGCAGTAATAAATTCTGCTTATAAAAAACATACAAATTCCTGGAGGGGGGTGTGTCTACACTCTGGGAAAAGAGGTGTGGCAGGGGAAGATTACTTTAGGTGGTAATAGGTCAAAGTACATCAGCATTCAATTTTAAAACAAACTCTGACTAAACAATTCAAACACTGCAATGACAACATGTTTAGTAATCACTTTTACCAACTGTAAGTATGTAGTTATAATGTGTTTACTAGTGCTTGAAATGTAAAATTAAGGAAACTATAATTATAGCTCAATATTTTTCAACTCTGATCAACTCTGTGTTAGTCAGAAACCTATCCCATTAGGACATGTTTCTAAAAAGTAAAATGAATCAAATGTTATAATTCTTTCAGTTCAGAGGGTTTCATAATGCCCCCTTCAAGTAATGGGGAAAAGTACTACAGTGGCAAATCATCAGTGAAGTCACTAGGGTACCGATCTACATGAAAAACAAAACTAGAAACAAAAGCCAAATATGATGCCAAGTTTGTAAAAATGTTTTATACACACACCAAGATTTGAAGCACACTAAAATATCAGCAAGGATTATCTGTGGTGATTTTACTTTAGGTAATTTTTATTTTAACCTGTTTCTATATTTTCTGTTTTCTACAATGATCATATATTATTGTTAAAACTAGTAAGAAAAAATAAAATTAGACAAGTGGAAACTGAGGTTGTACCAATCAATTTAGTATTATATTGGATTGATAGGCTATCCCTTATACCACCATGTTCTAAGCAAAAAGCATTCAGGGCCCTTGAAGACATGAACTTTGCCTTATCTATAATACATACTTGATTACATTCACATGTACAATATATGATGCGCAGATTAATACTTGTGCTGCACAACATTTGGAAACTAAAAATGGTTCATTTAGGAAAAGAGAAAGCAGGTAAGCACCCTTGCAAAACAAAGGAGAGCCAAGAGTGGATGGTCAAGGAATAAATCAGTAAGAGGAGTCACAAGGTTGGGAATAACCTCTTGGCCCAAAATTTTAAAATGTAGATCTACTACAAATTGTTTTCTTTATTTTTTTAAGATTTTATTTATTTACTTGTCAGAGAGAGAGCACAAGCAGGGGGCCCCGCAGAGGGAGAAGTAAGCTCCCCATTGAGCAAGGAGCCCAGTGCGGGACTCCATCTATCCCAAGACCTGGGATCATAGCCTGAGCCGAAGGCAAGACAGACGCTTAACCGACTGAGACACCCAGGCGACCCTAAATTGTTCACTTTAAAACGGCCCATTTTTTGTCAATTTCACCTCTACTCATTAAAAAAGTAAAGGTAGACTTCTAAATATACCAGATTGAATCAGCACTACTTTAAAACGCGGCTTTGCCCAACAAAGGCAATTTTCTCAATTCTAGAGTAACATGTAACTATGATTCATCAACGTGGAAACTATTGTGGTGCCGGGAATGGAATGGGTAGAAGAGTACCAAAAACAGTGTACCTTCCTGCCTTCAAAGAGCTTACTGCAATAGGGAGAGGGATAACAAAGTAACGGGTGGTGGAAAGAGGTCACAAAACAGTCACGAGTGATTTTGTTGGTTTTAAAATAATGAAGGTTAAGTACTGTTGAGGTTAAAAAACTTTGTGCAACAAGATTTGAACAGACGATGGTGCAGAATTAGGCACATGGCTGAGCTGGGTGGGACTCATCGCACACTTAATCCTCGATGACAGCACCAAAACCAGCCCTCTCTGGGCTTAAGCGTACACAAACATTGATTGAAAATTGACTGAAATCCAGCAAATCCTCCAAGCAAGGCTAAACACGCACGCACGCAAAATTCGACAGCGCTGCGTTCATTTTCCTTGGTAGAGTACCTAATACCTGGCTACTGACTAAAAAAGGCTTAACGAAAGCTGATGATCGGCTGGAATCTCTACATTATCAACCCGCTCCCAAAGGGCCTCTGGCTCACGCCTTTGCACGCAACACCGAGCGCAGGTTGACCTCGGCCTCCGCCCTGCCCACCCCGGGACGCTGTTTACCAAGACTGACCCAAACGTGCTACCCGCACGCCACTGCAAGCCGGGCCTCCCCGGGTCCCGGCGACGCCAACTTGTAAATATGGGACTGGGGGGGGGGACCCGCAATCAATGGCAGGTGGGTGGCGCGGCCTCACGAGACAAAGCAGGGCGCCCCATCCGAGGGAGCCCTTCATCGCGCCGG